GGTGCCTCAAGAGGCTGGGTGTGCACTGCTCCCACAAGGGTTAATGGGGGACAAGAGGACTCAGCACTTCCAGAATGAGTCCCTAGATGCTGATAGCGAAGTGCAAATTGTTATATTAAGCGAGACAACATTTTGCAGCATCCTCATTGTTCATGGAGTCTTCTTTTTGTTTGCAAAATGAGGAATTATTATCATAAATTAACATAGTATTTAGTACATGGCTTATCCAATTATTATATTTGTATGAACAACTGCAATATCCTTTCAAGCAACCTTTATTTTATTTTATTTCTGCCAAACTTAAAGCAGCTTTTAGCTGCCTTTTATTAARAATGAATTGATTATCTATGCAAAGCTGCTGGATGGTTGCAGATGATGGCATTTATCTGGCACCGGAGACCTGTTTGCATCCCCTCCCTCTGCCTGCTCTGGAATTTCATCCTCTGCATTTTGGGAAGTTCTGCAGAGAAAAGTGGTCTGAACTTAGGGGACCCAGGGAGAGSAAATGATAAAAAATAAATAACAAAACTAATAAATAACTAAATAATTTGGGACAATATGTGAGCTACCACCTCCTTTGCCCAACCGAATCACCACCTTTTGTGCCTCTGAAGGCTTTGGAAGGGTTACAGAGGGCTCACCTGCTTTCATTGGGGTCCCCTAATACCGAGGGAAATATCAGGCTAAGAAAGCCAAGCCCAGGGCAGGGCTTAAACACCCGAAACATGTTGCAAGTCAAACCTCCATCATTAGTGCATGAAAGGTGGCACAAAAGCTTTGCTCCAACTGCGGGTCACTTAGTCCTCCTTTCTCCCCTGCCTCCAAAGTGTTGTCACCAGAGAGGCCAGCGAGTTAAAGCAAAGCAAGGGCTGCTGGAGATCAGAGCTCACGGAACGAGAATCTGAAAAATGGTTTGCAAATATTATAAGTCTTTCAACGCTGTTTTCTAGGTATTCTGTTAAATATCCCACTGGGAGGCTTCTTTTCGTCAAAGCTAACCACATCTCTTTGGACTTTCTTCTCTGAGTGACTTCAAGTATATAAAGAATTTAGATGAAAAACAGATCTGTATTTTTTCATTGTTCAAAAAAATGGTAGAAAATGTTCACTTCTCAGAAGAGTGATAGGGATTTTATTTATAGAAATTCCCAAAGTGACAGTTATAGAAATAATCTGTGGCAAACAAGTTGCAGGAGATTTTTCCCTCAGTCAGATCATATTATCTCGTTCCAACGCTGCATAATAATTTCCATGCAAGAAGCTGCATTATGTAGCCCTGATCCTTGTTTTGACTCAGGAAGAGCCAACAGCAACTTCCAAATRGGATTGATATAAAGAAGAGACTCTCGCCGTTCTCTCAGCTCAATGAGAGAAGAAAGTGGATTAATTTTCTGCAAAGAAGGATGCAAGCTATGAATTGGATGGAAAAATATAAAATAAAAAAATGAAGAGAGGAAGCCATGGAGCTATCCAGAGCTATCCAGGAAGACTGTGGAATTGCCATCCTTGTTGCTCTTGGGAAAAGAGGATACACGAGCATGTGTAGAAACAGTCTAGGCAGGTCCAACTTGCCCACAGCGCCACAGGGATCTATGGGCCACTCCTGGGGGACTTACAGGGCACTCATAGGGGACCATGAAAGGAAGCAGAGGTGACCAGTTTTTATTGACTCTGCAGTAGCCCGTTTCAGGTTAGTGTAAGGGGTCTGCACCTTCTCTGGAGGATGGAAGTGTCCACAGGTTTTGAAACGTGCTCGGTCCTGCATCGAGGCACAACATGGAGGAAATAACTCTGAAGGCCCTTTGACCCTACAGTCTTGTAGCTCTTTAAAGCAAATTGCCAGAAATATTGTGCATTGGAGATATGTGTTTCAGTAATGCACATGGACTATTAAGAAAATACAAAAATTCAGACTATTTCTATACCCCATTGCTAAACACTATTTAGCAACAGTATTTCAGGGTGCAATCTGCCAGAGCACTGGGCAATAGTATGAGACAGCTTTTGGAAAATGCTTTAGCAGTATTTTCTTGTTTGTGATTGCACTATGAAGAGTATTTACATTAAATTGCTTTACCTTTTAGCTTCCATACCTTATGCTAACAATGTGTGCTTTAAGAATCATAAAACCCTTGGCAAAATATGACTTTTAACCAGACAATTTCAAAGCATAGCAGAGTCTACTTACAATCTTCTTTAAATGCATGATCCTGCTCTCGCCGAAAGAAATGCAAAACCACCATGGAATTGAGTTGGGCACATATMAATAAAAGCAATTCCATTACAAACAGGAGTTGCTGTGATTCAGTAAGGTGCTAAAACAGTTTAATACTTGAATTTCTAGGTATCACTGGAACTTAAGCATCCAAGTGTGTAAGGATTTGAGCATGCCTGTTGTTTAGGTATCTTAAGCCTATGCTTTAAGCTCTATTTTAGTTCTTAGTGAGAGAGGAATGATAGAAGAAGCAGCATAAATCTGTGGTGGAAATGGACCAAGCATTCAAAGACTTCCACTGCTTTTTCTTGGCAACCAATTCCAAATCTGTGTGTTATTAACAATGCTAATACATGCCTAAAGTGTTTTTAGCCGCTAAGAACCTGGAGAAATTCAGAACTCAGGTTCTTTTAGTAACTTTGAGTCTGCCTCTGGCACGTACAGTTCTGTCCCACAGGGTTTCCCCATAGCGCACTAAGCTGGCCAAGGGATTGGCATTTTTTCCACAGAGAAGCTGCATCTTCCCTCTGAGCTATTTCCACCACAAAACAATAACTGTATTTATGTGTGCAARAAACACTCTTCTATTAATATATCCTTCGCTTCTTCATAATAAGAGCAAACTAACATGAATATGACTTATGGCCATATGCTCAGGACAAAGAAAGGATTCYGTGTACCGGGCTGCTGCAGCCTCCCTTCTTCATTCCTTAGAGTTTCTTCGGAACAGAGATACTGCTGCCTTTGGAAAGGCTACAAGTGCTGCTGGATGCAGCAGAGGCRGGATGGCTGTGGCTCCTCGCAGGGCAGGCTTTTAGGCAGGCAGAGGTTTGCAGCCCCGCTCTGGGAATGGAAAAGCAAAGGAAGCCTTCAGCTGTGTGGCATGCCTGGAGTGGGCTTTGGAGCGTGCCACCGCGCAATGCTGGCAGCACATGAGTACAGCGAATGCATCTGGGTGTCTGTTCCGTCCTCAAAAACGGTCCTGGGGATTTTCCTCGGATTCAGCATGTGAAGCCACACACATGCATGCCCACACACATTTCCTTTCTGAAGTAAAATGAAATATGAGCAATGTCATCCCTCAAGTGTCCCCTTTAAAAGTTATAAACCACTTAAATTGGGTTCTTAAATGAAAAAGCAGCTTCAAGAATAGAGTCGGTAGATTAAAGGTAGCCTGTGCATTCACACAGAATAAATAACTRAATAATTGCAAAGTTGGAAAAGAGTCCAAAGAAGACAGCGTTTATTACACGAGGCTTTTTTCTTTTGCTTACACTAACTTTCTAATGGCTGTTTTCTCGGACAGCCCCTTTGCATAAGAGCAGCCTCTGGGCCGCTCGCACATTTACTTTGGCTTCTGCCACGGCCATTACGGATTCCTGGAAGCGTGCGGTCCCCGGCCGAGCCGTGGGCCCGTCTGGAGGCCGAGGCCGGAGCCATCCTGCCCCTCGTGCAGCACAAGGAATATCCCCCATCCCAGTGGATTGGGGTGAAAGGCGCCGTGTATCCCAGCATGGGGCCTGCCCGGAGGCAGCACGGCAGATCCGTAAGGCTGCTGCAGTCCGTGGGCACGTGGAATATTGCAGACTCGGCGCCTTGGAATGAGAGTGTCCTCTGAATTTGGTGCGCTGTTTATGTGAAAGAAAAGCCAATTGTCCTGCAGCAAAGGGCTCCGGTGCTAACAGTGCAAAATGAGCCAAGGGAAAAATCCTTTTGCCCAGGTGTATGTAACGTTTTAAAATAAGTATACATTTATATACAGTGCATTGACTGTTTACACTTATTCAAAATGCCATGCATAATGAAAACTATGCAAATATTTATTAAAAAAACACCTGAGTAAGGAATGAACCCAGTTTAACACCACAATAACTGCACATGCAGCGCTGGCAGGGCAGTGCCACGGGTAACATTTTGGCAAAGGAACCTCGGGTGTAGCAGCCAGGAGCGTGGCGTTCCGCTCCGGTCCCTGCCAAGGGAAACTCCACGGAGGACATCGCTKCAAGGAGCGCAGCAACCCCGCGGTCTCCGGCTGCGTTAAGCCGGGAACTTGTAAAAACGGCGACACGGGCTCGGTTTTCAGGGGCTCYCCCGCGAGCGGCCGGCGGGGCCGCGCAAGGC